AAAACATGGGGGCTCTAGTTCAAAATTGGTGGGAATAGGTTTATGAAAATGATTATTTCCTTTGAGTAACCAAGTCTCCAAAATTTGGTGTGGAAAGAAAGATACAAAACTGTTTCAGATTTTGTGGGCTTAAAATAGCTGTTAGAGCTTTTGTAAAGCAGTATTTGTTTGCAAGACAAAGGAGTGTTGGTTTCAAGCAAAATAAAAATATTTTAATTTGGATGTTACTAAGGAATGCAAAGGAAAATGGAAAACAGTATTAGCTTCACATGAGTATTTAGAGCTTAACATAAAACTGAAATTCCATCTGTTTTCCTCTTTATTTAATCAAAATATGGGTTTAAATCTGTTGTCCACAGTATTTAGAGCAAGGCCTCCAACTTGAAAAAAATCCTACCTTCTCCTTAAGTATCTTACCAACTGTGCTATTCCTGAGGTTGTAAGTCTTTCATTCTCCTCTCCTGATGTTGCTTCATCTTGCAAATAAAAATAATTACGATGTCACTGGAGCAGGAGTTGGAAACATGTATTGCTTTGGCTACCAGAGCAGGCAATAGAAACACATTTTTCTCCATCATGATGGAGATTTCAGTATTTCTATGAAGTAAAATGACTTCAGCAGAAGAGGTGGAGAAAAATCAAAATCTCCTCCCTGCTTGCAAAGGGGTTTGAATGCACATTTTCTCACCCAGAGGTGTTTCCAAGGTGTGTCTAAATGGCCTTGCACACTGGAAATCTGAAAAAGCAAAGAAATGCCAAAATTACTCATTTAGCTAATTGCGGGTTCGGGGGTTTTATTTTTCACTGTGTATTTCTTAAAAACCATTTGACTGGGATTTTATTTTGGTCCCAGCTATGTTTGTGGCTAGCTCCCACTGCTCTGCACCTACAGCTTCCCTGACTGAGTGGTTTGCATTGGGGTAGGAACACCAGACCTGTATGAGTTTCAAACCAGATCTTTGAGACCACCAGACCTGGGAGAACCTCAAACTGAGGAATAAAGCAAATTTCTGCCACCCTTACTCCTGTGAAGAAGATCCTTACTACCTTACAGGTGTACAGCCCTTACCACAACAAGGTGGTAAAGCAAAAATACAGGTGAAAAAACCCCCAAACTTCATCCTTTCAAATATACTTTCTACATCATGAGCGAGATAGTCAGAACAGAGCAAGTGGCAGGTCCGTGTATAACATATTCACTGGCAAAACTCCCCAGTGCAGGGAAATTGCATTTGACAGATGCTTTGGAATAGGACCAGATCATCTGCAATTGTAATTTTGGGTTTTTTACGAATGTTAAACTCTAGCAGCAGATGTGTAAAGAACACCTCTTCCAGTGAGTGACGCTGAAGCAGCTCATTTTGTCATTTCTTCTGGGTCTAGACTAAACCGAGGCCGTTAAGCCAATGTGTTGTAGCTGTGGGTGAGGACAAAGGAGGCCTTTCTGAGTCAGGATGAAGCCTGTTTTCCAGGGAAGGTTTGCTAGTGAAAGGCAGAACCTCAGCCGGGCCTTAGAAATGTAGCCTCAGAAAACCTCTCCACTGTTACTGCTTCATGGAACTGCTAAAAATATTGAATGGAAAATGCAAGTATTAAGGAAATGAGGTAGATTTGGGCTGTCTGAGCTGGATGACTTCCAGTTTCATCAGCTTCCCGGAATCCTTGCTGTGAAAATGAAGAGCTCCTTGTAAATCTCAGAAACCTGTCAGTGTTTTTCCTCTCAAGTGGCTGTGCTGGTTTACAGGGTATGATGCGTGGGGAGAGCTGTCAACATTGAGCAGTGAGTTCAGAGCTTACAACTGCTGGGGTGGCTTGAGACAAACACTCAAACAAGAGGCAGAACTTTCCCAGAGAAAGATCTTATGGGGCAGCTGGAGACAATAGGCTCCAGAGGAGCCGCGTGGCTGAGCCTGCCACTGTGCTGGCCCACGAGACCTGCTCTGAGGGGGACGTGTGGGATGATCTTCTGTCACCTTGCCGAGTAAGGAGCATTGAGCAGTCTTCTGTGGTCATGGGAGGTCCTCTACCAAAATGATCTGCACGTAGCCAAGGGCCACAGCAAGCAAGAGCCAAATTAACGTCATATTACAGGCTATGTGAAAATAGAAAATGCAAGTGTTGGGTTTCACGTCGCTGGACAGAAGTCAGGAGAAGTCAGTATCCCAGCTGCAGGAGGAGACAACAGGCACTCTTAATGGGTTTAATGTGCAATGGGGAGAAGCCAAAGGGCTGGAGGTTTGCCTGGTGTGGTTAAAACTGTGCTCGCCCAGTGAGAGGCAGAGTTTAAATTTAATGCCAATTACATCGATAGAGGCTCTCTGGGAGGATGCAGCAAGCACAGAATGCTCTTGCATCTGCAGAAGCTCCTGCCATCCTGGTGCTGAAATGAGCCTGGTGCATTGTGCAGCTGACAGGGATCTGGGGGCTCCTGCAGCTTGTCCTGTGGGGCAGGGGCTGGGAAGTGGCAGTGTGCCTGGTGATGTGGTTGGCAGAGCTGGCCCTGCCCCGTAGCTGTCTTGCCTCTGTTTCTCAATGTACATGACTGTGTTTCTGCTGGCTCAGGTATAAGGATGGTGCATTTTGTGGCATTCCCAAAGCATGCCAGGACATGGTGGGTGTTTCAGGGAGTGGGGGTAACTTTGCAAGGGGGATCTCCAGGTAAGTTCACCAGAATTCCCCTTGCAGTTGTACCTTTAGGGGCACACCACAACAGTCAGCACTGCCCAGGACTGAGAAGGTGTTTGCTGCATTTAGATCCGAGCCAAGAATAAACTGTGCATTTCAACCACTTCACTGCAGATTCCTGGAAACAAGGCCTGCCTTCATGCTCAGAGGGCTTCCTGGCTCTGCCAAGAACCACAGGGAAGAGCAACAGGAGCTTTGGCTGTAAACTGCTGCTGAAGATGGACTGTCATGGGCAACTATGCACAATAACTCTCACTGTGCTCACTTAAAGCCTTTTCAGGCCAAGCCTTTACCCACATGCCTTAGCAGCCATTTGTGATTCTCAGAAGGGAGAAAAATAAGTGTGTCCTGCTGAGCATCCCACCCAGAGCACACACTGCAGCATGAGACAGGCACTGTCCTCAGCATCCGAATTTCAGTGGCCACCAGATAGCTGGTGGGTCTGCTGGGTAGGGCAGCAGCATTGCAGAAGTTCTGCTGGTTTGTGTTGCCAAGCTGTGTTAAAGTTGAAGAGAGAGGATGTGTGATCTTGCGATTAAGATCCGGAGCTGGAATTCAGGAAGCTGGTGTTCAGTCTTTTCTCTGGGGGACATGGGCAAGTTTCTTAACCTTTATTCCTTGCTTTGCCATCCATTCAAAAGAGGCTAATAATACTTTTCCTTATCTCTTTAGGAGAGGATGTGGCCCTGATTGTCTAACACAATGTGTCCTTGATCTTTCCACTGAAATTTGAGGGAGAGCCGTCTCGAGCCCCGGAGAGACTTCTCGTGGTGGTGTGGGCTGTGCCAATGCCAATGCACGATAGAGCAGTCAACCATCTGATTTTCACTTTAGGATCATAGGTGAAGGATGAATAGGATCAAGCTGGATTCAGATTTCAGCTCATCCATAGGTCTTCATAATGATATGGAGATGTCACCACCCTCCCCATTGCTCCCCCTTCCCAGGGAAATAGATGCCCAACCAGAGACCAAAGTAGATCAAGATCCAGCATGGATTTTGTAAAGGGACCCCGAGACCCTCAAATGTATTTAGTTTTTTGATCCTGACCTAGGCATTGAGATGACTTTTGAAGGTCACTTTGTCTAGGCCTACAAGGTCTTCTACCTCAGTGAAAAGGCAATGGTAAAACCTGTCCCTGCTACAGAACTGCCCTGAGGGCTCTGGGCAGCTCTTGGGGCAATACCTGAGATAGTTCAAAAAATGAACCAGGACCTGTTTGTGCTGCACAGAGCTCACATCATAGCCCCTTTCTTCCATCTGCAGTGGTACCTGGAGCTTGTCTGGCAGCTGCAGAGCAGAGGGGCTATGAGCTGGTGTATTTTTAGGCAGGCATTGCCTAAGTCTGCAGATGACCCTGTGCTTTCTGTCTGTGTTCCTGATGGTACTTCTGGCTGCAGGCTATTCCCTCAGGCAATCTCAAGGTCAGGCAAGCTGATAAACTTTGTTCGGGCTCTGTCATTTTGGCAGCTCTGCTTTTGATGAGGAGCTCCCAGGCTGTTAGAGGTGACATATTGGAAAATGTTCCTCTCTGCAGCTTATTGGGCTGCAGGACTTTTGTGACAGTGACAAGGATGTCCCGCAATGAGCACTATGGAGTATGTTCACTACTTATATTAGTGCACTGCTGGAATAGACCCATCTGGGAGGACTTGAAGATGTTGCCTTATGATGGAGGCATCCCATGCTGCCCAAAGATTCCCTCCTGCCCACGTGGCATGGTGTCAGCAGGGAGTTTCTTTTCTTCTCAGCTTGGATAGTGCTTCAGGTGGGGTTTATCAGTCAGGCTTACCCTATACAGGGAAGTCTGGGATTTAACCCTCCCCACCTTGGGAGAAGGAGGGATCTGCTGCCCCTCTGCAGAGACCTCACTTGCCTCTGCAGCTCCAGCTGTCTGCTCCAGCGTGATGTGCTTTGCTGAATCAGAGCACGTCCTGTGCAGTGCATTTTGCTGCATCATAACATCCTTACGCAATCTGACAGCTCTGGCAACCTCTGCTCCAGTGAGTCCCAGAGCTAAATGAGCAGGAGTCCTGCCAGCCAGGCTTGTGGTGTGTTTGCAAAGCCATGTGGGCGAACTCCTGTAGCACCTGCCCATATTAAATGCCATTTGACAGAACGGTGTTTGTTCCTCCCTCCCTTTTGTAAGAGATGAAGCAAAAGAAAACCTCTCCTGCATGACTTCTGGTAATTTTTTTAGGATGATGAGGCTTGTGCATTTTACAGGTTTTGCTTCTGAGGCCTGAGATGTTGACTCCATCCATGCTGGGGCTGCTCTAAGCACATAGCAACTGAGTGAATGATTCTCGTTGCAGGGACTTGAAGCTGGACAATGTGCTGCTGGACTATGAGGGGCACTGCAAGCTGGCAGACTTTGGAATGTGCAAAGAGGGCATTCATGATGGCATTACCACAGCCACCTTCTGTGGGACACCAGACTACATCGCTCCAGAGGTATAGGAAACCTTTCTTTGCTCAGGAAAACTTGGTTTCAATATGAAAAGTGTAGATTAGCTTTGGAACAGCCAGTGAGCTCCCTGGTGTCTGTAGCTATAACTTATTTGACTGCCAGGTGCAAGGTTTCCTCCTAGATGTATTATCAGTCCCTTGTGCATGCAAAGCATGAGTAAATTTTCAGGCTGCTGTATGCACCAAAACAAGCCTGTGTTTTTCTTTAGGAAGCATGACGTGAAGAATGGAAATACAGCTGCAAAAATCTTGAGAGGCACATACAGATACTGTCCCAGTTTAATCTGAAAGGAGATTGAATTCTCCTTCATTTTCCAGTTCCTTTTTCTACCTCCTCACATCCCCTGTCATTCCCTAGTCTCACTACAAAATTAACAAACACCTCTATAAGGAACAGCTGCCCTCCAGATGCTGCCAGATGTTCTGACAGGGTTTCAACACAATTGAATTTTTGTCTGTGGTTGATGTTTGTACCTTTCTCACACACTCACACTCCTTTCCCTGTCCAGCTGAAAGCCTTGCTGTTGGAGCCAGGTAAGCATTTCCTTCCCGGGGCAAGGAGGAGGCAATGTCACCTCACACACATGGCTGCTCTGCTGCTTCTGAAGCTCAACCAGTTTTGCTGAAATGCCCCTTCTCCTCCAGCTCAGCCCTAGCATCATTCTAAGGGCCTGTTTCCCAGGTGACCCTGTGAGCTAGTTCAGCCCTTGTTTAATGCATCTGATGTACCTCTGTGCTGATCTGGGGATACCCAGAGTGAGATCACCTTTATGTTCTAGCCAGCCTAGCAGAGAATGCTCTTAGGACATAGTAAGAACTTCTGCATTAATGTTTCCAAGCCCTTTTTCCTCCCCTGCTCAGTTTTCAAAGCATCAGGCTTGGTATTTCTTTTGCATCTGTTCTCCAGATCCTGCAGGAGATGCTGTATGGGCCTGATGTAGATTGGTGGGCCATGGGTGTGCTGCTGTACGAGATGCTGTGTGGCCACGCACCCTTCGAGGCGGAGAACGAGGACGACCTCTTTGAGGCCATTCTAAACGATGAAGTTGTCTACCCAACGTGGCTCCAGCAGGATGCAGTGGCAATCCTCAAAGCAGTAAGTTGCTTTGGCTGTTTTCTCTCTGTCCTGGCTTTCTTCAGCCTAAATCTAGCAGAAGAAAACAGGGCCCGGGTATTGGCATGCAGAAGTCATAGTTACCCTGACCCTGACCCTCTTCTTATCTTGAATTGAAGGGTAAACAAATAAAACATCCAGCCACACTTAGGTGTGTTTGCATAGTTATGGCCTTGTTATGGTTCAGTAGCCAACTTGGCAAGTGAAGTGTCAGCATGTCTGGGCATTCCCCTGCCTGCTTAATGATTGACAGCACAAGGTCATCTTCCAGAAGGGAAGCAGCAGGTACACACAGTGTTTAATCAGTAGTGACCATATGGCTTCCATGTGACTGCAGTGGGAAGAAGTAAAGGCTTCATGATAATCATGATAATTCTGAATGTCAGTAATGCCAGCCAGCCCCAGGATTGTGTCTGCATGCAAAGAGGGGGGTTGATTTTTGTGTGTTTGGGAGACAAAAGATGGCGCAGTGCAACAAACAGTTTGAGGAGAGCTGTTGCTGACAACACTTAGTCCTTGTTCTATCATGTATTCCTGACTTTTTCCAGGAGCTCTCTTATCCATGACATGGGAAGGAAGCTTTTTAAGATTTCAGGCTGTGCATGCAAATATTGCCTAATGCATTGGAACTGCCTGGCTCTACTGCAGTGAATCAAAAGGTGATTCTATGATGAGAGTGTTAACCTATGAATTGGGAGACCTAATTTGGCTGTTCTGCTACTGACTTCTTCCTGCCCCTCAGCAAATCACTTAATATCTCTAAGCGCCCTGTGGAGAGAGAAGGATCAGAGTATTCCCTTTCCTTGCAAAAGCACTGTGAACAAAGATGCATTTAAGACTGGATACTACTAAATATTGTGGTAACAGAAGATCTAAGAAACAGTTGGCTAAGATCATAATTCATAGGAAATTGTGGAGCACTGACCCAGAGAAATGGGGTAATCAATGATGAGGCCACTTAAAGGAAAGAAGAGAGTTTGTATTCATCAGCTTTTTAGTAGTGAGAATCTGGAAGTTTTGTGCTGAAAGGGTTTGGTTGCATATGAATTGAGCAACTGCTTTTTGTAGCTGAAAACACATCTAATAAATTCCACAGAAATCAGCTGAGAATAAAATCCACTTCTGGAGGAGGCAGAGGGTTGTGAAATCACAGGTTGTGCTCAGGAGAGACTATTTGTCAGACTGAAGGCCCTTTTGGGTTTTGGAAATAGGCTGCAACATATTTAAACTAAAAAAAATGTGAAGTTCAGACTCACTACAGCTTCTGGAACAGCATTCATGTTGTTGGATTGGGATTTTCAAATGCCTAAGCTGTTCAGCTGAAGTCATAGCAGAGTGGATTTGTTGCAGGTATCTTGCATAAGTATGAGATGGTGGTAGAATGTGGTCAGGTAGATGCTCATTGTAGCAGGAATCTCAGGGTGTAATAAAATATGGTTTGGGTTTTAGCCTCTTGATGAAATACTTGTTTTTCTAATTCTGATAGGAGCCTCACAGAAACAGCCAGCACAAGCTGCAATCTCCCCACACTGCTCTAGCTTGTGTTCAGATTTTAACAGTGGGTCCCTTCTGTGATTAACAGGCAAGCAGCATGATGAGGAGCAGTGAAGCAAACAGGCCAGGATTGAGGATGGAGATAAGAATTTAAATAGAGAGCAACTGAGTGTCTCCAAAACTGCACAGTCAGCTTAGTAACTGCTGGTGACTTGCCCAAAAAAAGTCACCTCTCCATCCAGCTTATCTGCTGCATATCTGTATCATGTGTTGCTGGTGACACTCAAATGGAAGCAAAACTGCCTCTCTGAAATGCATAAGCATTGCTTAGGAGAAGCACTGTGCTGGGTCTGCTTAGGGAGAAAAGGCTGAAATTTAGGGCATTAACCAGGAGCCTTCTGATTAACTATTGGGAAGCTGCAACTGAAATCTTTACTGGACCTTCAGTTCTTCAGTGTTTCTGTTCCCTGGGTAGCTGCTATCTGGAGGTGACTTTTGCATCTTATTTTACAGCACTGATGATAGTTGGATACAGCCTGAATTTCTGCAGCTTCACAATAGCTGTTTTTGGGATCAAGAGCTGTTCAGTAGAAGAGCTCCTTATTATCTCCTCCCTTTCTTATGCTGAGTTTTCAGAGGCATCAGACCATGTTGGCTTTAATGGGGAGGAAACATCCTGTCATGAGATTGTCTGGGGCTCTAGATTAAAATGGAAACCCTCCACACACTTTGATTTCTGTTGATTTATAACAAATATGATCACTGCTGAGGTATTATATTTGCAGTATACTGATAATGTTTGGTCAGTATTTTTAGGTGTCAGTATAACACAGAGTGGTAAACCTGGTTTTTTAAGGAAGACAGTAGCTTTTCTAGCTGCTTAATATGTAGGGTTTTTTCCTCACAGATCTCTGATGCTGATATTTCTCTTAGATGGCAGCATTATGACTACGTGAGCATCTTCTAATCACTGCTGTGTTTACCTCCAACAAAACATGCACTCAAGCTCCCTGATTTACAGCTGTGACAGTGCTTTCTAACTCCTGATGTTAAAAGCTCTGGAGAATCAGAGCATTCAACTACTGCAGTGACATAAATGATTATAAGTAATTACATGGCATGGGAAGCCTATGGAAGATCAGGGAGTTAATCCTGGGTTCTCTTGTATTGCAGGCTAAGGCCTTAATAGCCTTAATAACTGGATTATCCCCTCACTAAAAGTTCTGGTCTCTAACCTTGAACAAGACTAGTGAGAATTCAGAGTTTTAAATGGTACAAAGCTCTGAAATGAAAATCAAATTCTTCTGCTAGGAAGATACAATTAGGTGTAGGTGCTTACAGATGCTCTACAAATTGATATGTCTATAGCACTTGATCCATTTGCCTTCATGAAGAGCTTCTTGTAAACACAGGTAAGAGGTTTTAGGACCCATTTCACAGATGCTGTTACCTTGTTTTGCTTTCATTTTGCATAATTGTGCTTCACCAATTTCCCCCATCAGAAACCACACGATTTCTGAAGGTTGCATCTTGTTCATCTTTGTACTTTTCTTATAACAGTGAAACTACGTCCTTAGGACCTTGTTTACGTCACTGGGTGTTCCTGGAGGGTGTTTGAGTACCAAGGGAAAGAAAACCAACATCGATGCCCTTGGACTTTGTATAGAGTTAAAAGCAGAAATATTTGTGCACTAGAAAAAGGAGTTTTTCTTTATTTCCCTTTTTAATGGTTGTTTTTGTACTTGATATTTTCCCTCAAGAGCTGGGGATAGAGTAGGGCAGAGGTCACTCAGTGTAAATCAGCAGGATTTGCTGGAGTCAGGATTCTCAGAGGAGAGAAGTAGAAAATTTCACTCATGAACCTTGCCTGGTGTGAGTGCATCACTGGGGAATTCAGGTATGGATGGTTCAAGTGAGGCAGAGAGGACTCAAACTGAGGTTTCCCCTGCTTGTGTGAGCAGATCAGACTGAGCATGGATTTGCTTGTAAAAATGTGCAGAAAAGAAGAATTGCTGCTAAATGAATTCAGACCACGTCAACTTATTCTAGATGCAAGTTTTGCATTGGTTTTGATTCTACAAAAAAAAAATTTCTCCATAGCCCTACCAGAATGCATTCACAAAGAGTTTCTGCCAGAGGAGCTATTGGGTTTGTGTCTGTAAAAGAAATTCTTTCAAATACTCTTTGCCATCAGCTGGCAGAGTAGTCACCAGTGTCTGATGATGGAGAAGCTGTGAAAGAGAAACTGTGTGAGCACACAGAGAGCAGAGCCTGCCACACCAAATCCATTACAGTGAGAGTGCAGATAGAGATTGCTTTGTTGCAGCATATCAATATTCTGAATTTGTTAATTGTCACTGGCAAAAAGTGTTGGAGCAGAGAGGGGAGCTTTCCAGGCAGCCAGAGGCTTTGGGATTCAGCTGAGTGAACTGCAAAGTGAAATACAATCCTCTTGCTTCCCAAAAGTGAGGTGGTATCTTGGCAGCGTGTTTCACTCACTTCTTGTATGGCTTTCTCAGATGCAGTTCAGTCACGTTGCCTTGCTCACAGTCAGCTCAGTTGGAGGGGAGAATGGAGGGACACAGTGAAAATCAGGTCTCAAAAGCTGATGGCGTAATGGGAAGCAAATTCACAGGGAAAGCTGCAGAGATTTTCCTTTCCAAGTCTGGTTTCAGATGAGGAGAGAAGGGCTAAGCCTGTTGAGTCACTCCATGGACTGATGATCTGAAGCAGCAGTGGTTGGCCCAAAGGCTTGGAAATTTGGATGAGCAATTGCAATTTAGATGTTTTCACCCTCAGAGCCTGGTAACAGCAGTGACTGGAAAGCACTATCTCCCCAGGGAAGTGTTACCATTGCTCTGCCTTCTGCACCCTGGATTTCTGAACTCCTGTCACAGCAGAGTCTGCTGAAGCTGAGGGTATCTCTTGGCATTTGTGTGCCAACCTCCGGTCTTAATGAGAGCTCTGAAACACTCTAAGTCTTGCTGAAATGCTCTTCCAAAAGTGAGGCTTGGGCAGCCTTGCCTGTAGCTGTATATTTTGGGGACACAAATGAGACTAAAGCCTGTTCTTCCTCCAGGTGGCTAAAAACATGCATTTTGAGGACAGCACTGCTGGAGTGAAAAGAGTGGGCAGAAGTGGTTACATCCCCCTCCAAGTGGTTTTTGTGTGAAAAATAAACACCAAGCAAGAAAAGAGGAAGGTGCAGAGGAAATTGGCTGTGGTTTCAGCAGCCTGTGCTCTCACCCAGCACAGGTGGAACAGCACAGGGGAGTCCAAACACTGCTGGATTAGTACAAAGAGTGAGAGGGATGGAAAGGTGAGGGAGCTCAGCTGAGGGCCAGCATGACATGGCTCTTAGAGAAAAATGACATCAGCAATACAGCACAAAGGATGCAAGAGAAAAACTTGATCTCTTGTTCTAGAGAGCACTAAGCTGGAAGTGACGCTGACTCAAAAGGCAAATAGTCTGGTTGGGTGAACTGTCT